GATGCTTGCTACTACATGAAACTGCTTTTACATTTTTCTTAGTTTTGTTTTGTTTTCTGTTTTTGAGACAGAGTCTTGCTCTGTCATCCAGACTAAAGTGGTGCAATCTTGGCTTACTGCAACCTCCACCTCCCAGGTTCAAGCAATTCTCCTGCCTCAGCCTAGTAGCTGGGGTTACAGGCACCCACCAACACACCTGGCTAATTTTTTTTTTTTTTTTAAGGCTAGTCAAGTGAAGCAGTGGAATTTTTGTATTTTTAGTAGAGATGGGGTTTCACCATCTTGGCCAGGCTGGTCTTGAACTCCTGACCTTGTGATCCACCCGCCTCAGCCTCCCAAAGTGCTGGGATTACAGGCGTGAACCACTGCACTCAGTCCTTTTCTTTGTTTTTAATTGATTATATATACAGAGGGTACACAATTTGAACGGTACAAGAAAATAAAATGTGTTTCTTCCCTATTGATCAGACACACAGTCCCACTTCCCACCAGAGGCAAGAACTATTCCCACTTTGTTGTTTATCTTTCTAGATATATTCTCTAAAATAACAACCATAATACTACATACCCTTATTTTTCTTCACATGGTGTACTGTATATATGTGTCCAGATGTACATACATGTGCACACACATACTGTTCTGTACTGTGCACTTGCTACATATCAAAAATATCTGGCTAGGTATGGTGGCTCACACCTGTAATCCCAGCACTTTGGGAGGCTAAAGTAGGTGGATCAACTGAGGTCGGGAGTTCAAGACCAGCCTGGTCAACATGGTGAAACCCTGTCTCTATTTTTAAAAATACAAAAATTAGCCAGGCATGGTGGCGAGTGCTTGTAATCCCAGCTACTCGGGAGGCTGAGGCACAAGAATCGTTTGAACCAGGAAGGTGAAGGTTGCAGTGAGCCAAGATTGTGCCACATCACGAAGGTTTTACCATGCTAAATGGTAAATAAATGGGGCATTACAAATCTGCCCCATTCCTATTAATTTCTGTTTAGTACTCCATTATACGGATCTCCTTTCGTTAACATAATCCATTCCCTATTGATGGACATTTAATTGTTTCCTTTTTCTTCTTGCTATTGAAAACAATGATCGCCCGGTGCAGTGGCTCACACCTGCAATCCCAGCACTTTGGGAGGCCAAGGTGGGTGGATCACGAGGTCAGGAGTTCAATGCCAGCCTGGCCAACATGGTGAAACCCCGTCTCTACTAAAGATACAAAAAATTAGCCAGGCGTGGTGGTGCACACCTGTAATCCCAGCTGAGGCATGAGAATCACTTGAACCCTGGAGGCAGAGGTTGCAGTGAGCCAAGATTTCACCATTGCACTCCAGCCTGGGTGGCAGGGTGAGACTCTGTTTCAAAAATAAATAATGAAAACAATGATGAATGCTTCCAGAAATAACTGTATGTACACAAATTTGCACTTGTGTAGGTATATTGGAGCTTATGTAGGTATATTAGGAGTGAAATTGCTGGGTTAGAGGGTATGTATATTTTATAGTCTGATAGTGCCAAAGTATTCTACATAGTTGTTGCACAGTGTGCTTCTACATCAGCAGTGAAATTATCTTAGTCTTTTTTATTTTGTTTTTTAGGTAGACAAGGTCTCACTCTGTCACCCAGTTTGGAGTGCAGTGGTGCACTGCACACTGAATCCTCAATTCCTACCTCAGCCTCCAGAGTAGCTGGGACACAGGCGCACAAAGCCACACCCAGCTAATTTTTTGTATTTCTTTTTGGAGCTGGGGGTCTTCCTGTGTTCCTCAGGCTGGTCTCAAATTCCTGGGCTCAAGTATCTGCCCACCTCAACATCCCAAAATGCAGGGATTATAGACGTGAGCTACCACACCTGGCTTCAGTCTTTTGTTTGACACTTGTTTATGGCCTGTCTCCCTCCTCTCACCATGAGAAGGACAGTGCCTTGTTCATCACTGTGTTACCAGGGACTTGCACATGGTAAATCTCAATAAATATTTGAAGAATAAGGAACCCTCATTGTAGACTCTCTACCAATTTTGCTCTAAGAATATGGTCAGCTTGCCGTTGATTAGCACACTATACAATTTTTTTTTTTTTTTTTTGAGACAGAGTTTTGCTCTTCTCACCCAGGCTGGAATGCAATGGCATCATCTCAGCTCACCACAACCTCTACTTCCCGGGTTCAAGCGATTCTCCTGCCTCAGCCTCCCAAGTGGCTGGGATTACAGGCATGTGCCACCACGCTTGGCTGATTTTGTATTTTTAGTATAGATGGGGTTTCTCCATGTTGGTCAGACTGGTCTTGAACTCTCAACGTCAGGTGATCCACCTGCCTCAGCCTCCCAAAGAGCTGGGATTACAGGCATGAGCCACTGCACCCAGACAGCATACTGTACTATTAACACATGCTTTGTCTTTCTCTTTTCTACCCCCGTGAGTACGATGGCTGATACACAGTAGGACTCAATAAGCCTGAGTTGAAGGGATGAATTGATGACTTTTCAGACTGTGGCTCACATCCGAAGCCAAATACAAGTTAGGAAGCAGGTTAAGCTAAGGAAGCTCAATGGAGAACTAGGAGCTCTAGGCTAGAAAGTTGGGAAGGGGAGAGGCCAGGTAATTGTCTAGAGATTGTCTGGAGCTGTGCTGGCAGGAAAATTCTCAAGAGCTGTCCCAGAGAGACAATAACCCATCTTCCAAGAGGTCAAGAGGACAAAAGTCTCCACTACCCCTTCCACCATTAACCTAGGATTGCTCTCTCCATCAGGTATGTAGGCATAGGTTTTCAAGGACCTCTGAAATACTTTGGACCTGAACAAATTTCCATTGTTAGTTCTAAAATATAACAAAGCTGTGAAAACTAATCTTTTATGGCCGTGTGCTGTGGCTCATGCCTGTAATCCCAGCACTTCTGAGGTTGAGGTAAGAGGATCACTTGAGCCCAGGAATTGGAGACCAGCCTAGACAACATAGTGAGACCCTGTATCTAAAAAAATTTTTTTTAAAGTAGCCAGGCGTAGTGGTGCATGGTGCAGTCCCAACTACTCAAGAGGCTGAGATGGGAGGATCACTTCAGTCTGGGAGGTCAAGGTTGCAGTGGGTCATGATCATGCCACTGCACTTCAGCCTAGGTGAAAGAGTGACAGGCTGTCTTGGAAAAAAAAATTAAATGTATATAAATGTCAACTATTAACAGCAACTAGATTAAATTACATATATTTATAGCTATTTTATTTATTTATTTATTTATTTTTTTGAGATGGAGTTTCGCTCTTGTTACCCAGGCTGGAGTGCAATGGCGCGATCTTGGCTCACTGCAACCTCTGCCTCCTGGGTTCAGGCAATTCTCCTGCCTCAGCCTCCTGAGTAGCTGGGATTACAGGCACGCGCCACCATGCCCAGCTAATTTTTTGTATTTTTAGTAGAGACGGGGTTTCACCATGTTGACCAGGATGGTCTCGATCTGTTGACCTCGTGATCCACCCGCCTCGGCCTCCTAAAGTGCTGGGATTACAGGCTTGAGCCACCGTGCCCAGCCTATAGCTATTTTATTTAATGTGGGGTGTTACTACATTTCCATACTTTTAATATAATATAGAATGAGACCTTCAAAATTGGAACCTTCAAAGTTTTTGAGTCTAATCTCTAGGAGTTTTCTAATGGGGAGAATCCCTGTTTTGTCAGGATTTAATCTTCTTTAATCCTAAAGGTCCTCATCTTTAAATAAGGATCCTCATAAAAAAGGGTTGTAGCCGGGCACGGTGGCTCAAGCCTGTAATCCCAGCACTTTGGGAGGCCGAGGAGGGTGGATCATGAAGTCAAGAGATCGAGACCATCCTGGTCAATATGGTGAAACCCCGTCTCTACTAAAAATACAAAAAAATTAGCTGGGCATGGTGATGCGTGCCTGTAATCCCAGCTACTCAGGAGGCTGAGGCAGGAGAATTGCCTGAACCCAGGAGGCGGAGGTTGCAGTGAGCCGAGATCGCGCCATTGCACTCCACCTGGGTAACAAGAGCGAAACTCCATCTCAAAAAAAAGAAAAAAAAAGAAAAAAAAAAAAAGGACTGTAAAAGAGCTACAGTAAGGACAAAATGAAATTTAAAAAGGTATTATAAAAGGGCTAATCTGTAAGACGCAAAGTAGTATTAGTATTGGATTTTTTCCGGTCAGCTCCTGGAGGGCTAAGGGGTTGTTTTATTCATTTCAGCTTCTCAATCAGTATCTTTTGGGTGGTCCACTCCAAGGGACACTATTCATGTTATATTTAACTGGAAGAATTGCCATTCACAGAAAATACAATGTGAATGCTGCTCTCCAGAGCAGCATTCACAGAAAATGCAATGTGAATGGTGCCTCCTGGAGATTTTGCCTTCTTAGCAAGGTGTTAGAGCCAAGGGCTCAGAATGTTTGTTAAGTGAGTGAATGGAATCCCATGCTACTTCTTAACTCATTCCAACCCCCAGGATAAAAAGGAAAAGTGGACCAGGGGTGAGGAGAGTGGGGGAGGAGAAAGGATGACCCTTAGCTATAAGGCTTTTATGAGATTGGGTGCAGGTCGGTGCTGCTGGGAGGGTAGGGGAGGTGCGGGGGGGAGGGGATACTAAAGCAAGTGTCCTATTCCCAGGGTTCCTCCTAATTTTCCTAGAAATACTACATCTCTCCGATATCAATGTAGAACCATACTGATGATCTGACAGCCCTAGATGTATCAAGTTCTTAGGTTGATTTATGCTGTTTATTCTTTTTTTTTTTTTTTTTTGAGACAGAGTTTCGCTGTTGTTACCCAGACTGGAGTGCAATGGCAGGATCTCGGCTCACCGCAACCTCCGCCTCCTGGGTTCAAGCAATTCTCCTGCCTCAGCCTCCGGAGTAGCTAGGAGTACAGGCGCGCACCACCATGCCCAGCTAATTTTTGTATTTTTACTAGAGACAGGGTTTCACCTTGTTGACCCGGATGGTCTCGATCTCTTGACCTCATGATCCACCCGCCTCGGTCTCCCAAAGTGCTAGGATTATAGGCGTGAGCCACCGCGCCCGGCATGCTGTTTATTCGTTAAACAGACGAACAAACAAACGCACTTAGCGCCTACCATAAGCCAAACTCTGTGCTAGTGCTGGAGGTGAAGTGCGGAACAGGACAGCAAAGGTTCCAACCCGCGTGGGGAAGCAATCACCCTCGGGAGGTGGTACTTCAATTGAGGTTAGAAGAAAAAGCAGGAGTGAGTGATTCAGACCAGGCCAGGCAGTCAGGAAGCTTGAGAGACATAGCCTTCTGAAGCGGGTCTGGAGCAAGAGAGTGAGGGAGACCAGTGGGTAGGGGCCAAATCGTGCAGGGCTTGTGGAGACTGTATTTTACCCTGAGGGTAATTGGGAGCCAGTAAATTATTTTAAGAGAAAATAGTGGTATGGGCAAATTTTAATTTTTCAAAATGGAGCGCAGGTTGAACGGGGCAAAAGTAGAGGCAGGGAGAGCCGTTAAGAGGCTACTGTGGCTGTCTTGGCGACACATGATGATGTCTTTAACCAGGGTGGTGCCGTGAGAGATAAAGAGAAGTGGATAGTTACAGGTACGTTTAGGAAGTAAAATCAGACAGGGCTGGTGACAGTAAACAGCCCTACCTCAAAAAAGGTCCTGGAAAAGAAAACATTTTATTTTGCTCATTAACCCATCAGGCATCCCCCTTCCCGTAACCCTGTCGTCTCGATAAATGGAGACAGCAGGGGGACGAGGGGCGGGGCAGGAGCCCACAAAAATCCGGGAACTTAAATTTAAACTGGGTGGACGTCAGCGGAGAGTAGATTAAAGAACACAGAAACTTCCGGTTACTCCGGAAGTGAAAGCTTCACATACTTCTAAGCTCCTCCCCCGGCGGCGAGCCAGGGAGAAAGGATGGCCGGCCGGGCGGCGCGGTTGGTCCTGCTAGCTGGGGCCGCGGCCCTGGCGAGCGGCTCCCAGGGCGACCGTGAGCCGGTGTACCGCGATTGCGTACTGAAGTGCGAAGAGCAGAACTGCTCGGGGGGCGCTCTGAAGCACTTCCGCTCCCGCCAGCCAATCTACATGAGTCTAGCAGGTAAGCCCCACCCCCACGTTAAGCCCTGCCCATTTATCTTGCTCCCGCCCCCTACGCCTCCGATACGCCTCTGCAATCTCAACCTTAGGTACTGTATGAGGTCTCATATTATTAATATTAAGTGAGTGGAGCCCCTAAGGTGATGAGAGCCTTATCATCCTCTCTTATTTTCCCAGAAGCTTTCGTTTACTTCTTTATTCAGTCAAAAGGGTATTTATTAAATACATTCGGGCTACAATGTCTAGGAATGGCACAGAAATCAGACCAGGGTTCTGCCCATTGGGGCTCACCCTCCCCCACGGGCATATGTGCATTCTCAAGTGCAAGGCAGAGAATGATTTGAGCCCCTGAGAGACTCTTAGATTAAGAAGCATTTGGTCTTGCAGGCCACCTGCAAAAAAAAAAAAGCAACATTTTGGAGGCCGGGCACGGTGGCTTACGCCTGTAATCCAGCACTTTGGGAGGCCAAGGCAGGCGGATCATGAGGTCAGGAGTTTGAGACCAGCCTGACCAACATAGAGAAACCCCATCTCTACTAAAAATACAAAATTAGCTGGGCATGGTGACGCATAGCTGTAATCCCAGCTACTCGGGATGCTGAGGCAGGAGAATCGCTTGAACCCGGGAAGGGTAGGTTGCAGTGAGCTGAGATCACACCATTGCACTCCAGTCTGGGCAACAAGAGGGAAACTGTCTCAAAAAAAAAAAAAACAAAAACAAAAACAAAAAGACACAAGCATTTGGGATAGGAAAGTGTCTTTTCTGGCTTTGAAGAGGTGGAGGCAGGGATCATCTTGGAACATTTTGTGTGAAGGAGGGACTTTGGACTGATACAGTTTGCACCTGTGACTATAGTGGGCAAAGAACCAACATACTGAGCACTCACTATGTGACAGGTGTCACAATACATCGTAATTTTTATTGCAACCCTTTGAGATAGTTTCTCTAATCGCAGTTTTACAGATGGGGATTAGAGATGTTAAGTGCCCTGCCCACATACACAGCCATTATGTGGTAAAGTAGAGTTTCCAGTTCTGGCCTGATTGACCGAAAGCTTTTCCTCTTTACTGTTATACCACTTTGCATTCCAGACAGAGGAAACAGAGAGAGCGGATGCCCTGGGCAGATATGGGCACATCCAGATTTGTTTACTCAGAGAGCAAGGTGCATGAACAGGGGTAGTCACCAAAAGGGTTGGAAAGGCAATTTGGAGCCTCAAAATTCAGGTTGAAGAATTTGGGCTTCATTTTCACAGGAAGGGGGTAAGATAGCAAGAACTCCTTCCTGGAGAGTAAGAGTAAATCCTATATTCAGGAAGGACAAACAACCCAGGTTTCCACAGATGAGTTCATCAGATGCCAAGATCTCGATGAACTTGAACAAAAGGAGAGGAAATGTCTCCCAAGGTGGGAAGATCGTTTGAGCTCTGGAGTTCAAAACTAGCCTGGGCAACATGGCAAGATGCCATCTCTACAAAAAAATAAAAGAATTAGCCAGACATTGTAGTCTCAGCTACTTGGGAGGCTGAGGTGGGAGGATTGTTTGAGCCTAGGAGGTCGAGGCTGTGGTGAGCTGTGATCTCCCCACTGCACTCCAGCCTGGGTGAAAGAGTGAGACCCTGTCTCAAAAAAAAGAAAAAGAAAAAGAAAAATATCTCAAATTGCTCACTAAAATATGCATACATATATACCCCTTCCCCTATGTGTATGTCTCACCATCTCTCATTCATCCAGATTGGAAGCTAGAATTTTGAGATTTCTCCTGATTCCTCCAACCTGCAGGCCCTCTTTGCCTATATTTTGGCTTGGACCCTGTTCATGCTCTCTCTGTGCCTCCCAGTGCTGGGGGACTCACCAGGGCACATTTGTCTGTTTCAGGCTGGACCTGTCGGGACGACTGTAAGTATGAGTGTATGTGGGTCACCGTTGGGCTCTACCTCCAGGAAGGTCACAGAGTGCCTCAGTTCCATGGCAAGGTGAGTTGGAGGGTCAGGGTAGGCATATGGTAGTAGTGTGGTGGGAGTAAGATACCCCCTGGTTGGACCACGCTGTCCAAGCAATCTGAGGCATGGGGTGGTGGGTGTATGTTTGGGGCAGGTACCTATTCTTCCCAAAATCGGTTGGTTTCCATAGAATTGAATAGGATCTATGTGTCCTGCCTCTGGATTTGGAGGAGAAATATGTGGAAGGCTTTGGAGTCTCCCCAGAGAGTGGTGCTGGGCCTTTAGAGTGGCTGAGATGGCCACCTTACTGCAGGGACACATTCCTTTACCTACTGTGGCACATTTCCTGTTGCTTCTCCGGTAGGGGTCTGGATTCATAGTAATATACTTCAGCTTGTCTAGCCAGGCACAGTTTGCTGGTACCTTTCAATCCAGTATCATCTCATTCTGGCCTGTTGATGTTGGCAGGAAGCATTCACCCCAGTTTTTCACAGAGTAAGCTAAGGCTCAGAGGACTGTGGACAGTGGTAGAGGAGGGGTTGGGACTTGGGTCTTCTGGATGGCAACTCTGTGCTGTTTCCATCAGGCCATACTGAGCCATCTACCCTGGCCCATCTGGTCTTCCCAGAGATCAGGGCTAACAGTGTACCTGCCGGCCAGGATGGGCGTATGACCCGTAACCATGCACTGGAGTGGGGCTCATTGGTCTGAAGAGGGAATGAACCTGAGGCTTTGGCTGAAGTCCAGAGCTGAGGACCCAGCTGGGGACCTGTTGCTGCAGCATGTCAAGAATAGGTGGACTGGGCCAGTTGGGGGTTGCCTACCCCTCAAACCCCCTTCATCTGCTCCTTTTTCAGTGGCCCTTCTCCCGGTTCCTGTTCTTTCAAGAGCCAGCATCTGCTGTGGCCTCTTTTCTCAATGGCCTGGCCAGCCTGGTGATGCTCTGCCGCTACCGCACCTTCGTGCCAGTGTCCTCCCCCATGTACCACACCTGTGTGGCCTTTGCCTGGGTAGGTAACCTGGCAGGACTCCTGCTATCACCCCTCATCTAGGAAGGAGGAACTCTAGATCCCTATTAACACTCAACAGGGCTTCTACTTACCAGCTTCTCCTCTGTTTTCCAGGGCTAAAGTTGCAGCTGTGGGATGGTGAGGCCTGGGGAGAAAACAGGGAGGGTGCTGAATTGGGCTGTTTTGGAAGGAGAGAGGAAAGAAGGACATTTTTCTGGTCCTGAAGAAGGAAGCCACTAAAAGACCCAGTAGGACACTTTACAAACACAGAAGGGAGTGGGGGAGGCTAGAGAGGATGCTAGAACCACAGGTCTTTCCAAGGGCCCCTCTGGAGGACTTGGAGCAATCTCAGTTCCAGCCAAGGCCTGGCGGGGAGGGAGTCGCAGCTACAGGTTTCTGTCTAGAACTCATCCTAGTCTCAGACCATCTGTGGAGAAGCCCAGGTATGGTTCCATCTGCAGATGCAGAAAGGGCTGTTAGCTTTACAGTATGGCTGGTCTGAACAGCTGTATTCAGGACCTGGAATTGTGTGATAAGCACAGACTGGGATGCAGATATGAACCATGACAGCCATCTCAAAAAAAAAAAAAAAAAAAACTTGCCCTAGTTAGCGAGGAGTGGAAACAGGGTTGGCGTCCGGGGCTGTCTGGCTCCAGGACCTGAGAACTTAGCTCTGCTAGGCCGCTCCGTGTCCTGTGATGAGTGTTTCTTGAGCATTTACTGGGAGTAGAGACGGGGTTTAGCACTTGCGGGGGCTGAAGCCCCTGCCCCAGATTGCTAAGCAGAGTGGGAGGTACAGGTCTGGCCAGCCTGGGCAGCAGACGGCGTGGAGTCGGGAGTGCTTTGGTAGGGAGTGCTTTGGTAGAGAGCCCTAGGATTTGTGAGGTGGGGAGACCACATCCTCTAACTGGGGAAGTCTTTCAGGCCAGGGAGGCCCGGGGAGGAGGAGATGTCTCATCTGGGACTTGCAGGCCTGGCAAGGCTTAGACACATACATGTGTGGGGACAGGGGATTGAATTCCAGCATTCCAGGCAAACTTGTCCCCACTGTAGCTGTGTGAATGGAGTAGAGAAAGAGGAGATGGAGCAGAGGGGGCCCTGAGTGCCAGCCTGAGGGCTAGGGGCTCAGATGTAGGCAGGGCCAGGCATTGGCACACATTGTCACAGGCTGGGTGCCTGTGTAGGCCACCACTTCCTGCGTAGGCCTCTTGCAGCAAAGCGAATTCAGTCATGGCTAAGAAAGCAGGAAGGGCAGGGAAACTGAAGAGGTTCCGTCTCCTTTCCTGTGGGGCTCCTCCATGACACTGCTTGTCTGGGCCCACTGCATGTACCACCCCCTAGTCCCCACCTCCACTAGAGAGCATGGGACAGCCCTGCCTGAACTCTGAAGAAGCTTAGAGCCTCCTTAGATAGGCCACAGGCCTGTCAGGACCTCGGAGGATCCTGCCCTTTGTCTTCATACCATGTGCCAGAGGCCAGGGGTCACATCACAGCTCTGGCCTTGCCATCCCTGATCCTCGGATCTTCCACCTGAATTGTATCTGCAACTCAGCTTCCTTCTTGGAGGGTGGTCACACTTTCCAGGGTGGCCTGAAGTCCTGTGTGACTAAGGAAGGACCCTAGAGAAAAAGCAGGAGATGGCTGGGAGCAATGGCTCATGCCTGTAAACCCAACACTTCGGGAGGCTGAGATGGGCAGATCATCTGAGGTCAGGAAGTCAAGCCCAGCCTGGCCAACACGGTGAAACCTCGTCTCTACTAAAAATACAAAAATTAGCCAGGTGTGGTGGTGGGCGCCTGTAATCCCAACTACTGGGAAGGCTGAGGCAGAAGAATTGCTTGAACCCGGGGAGCGGAGGTTACAGTGAGCTGAGATCATACCTGTACTCCAGCCTGGGGGACTGAGTGAGACTCCATCTCAAAAAACAAAAAAATAAAAAAAGCAGGAGATGTTGGTAGAAGGCAGATAGTTGGGGCCTGTGTCTTAGGGTACTCGTTGGCATGTGGCATTCTGGAACATGGGACCCCTGCATGCTCTCACTAGGCCTTCAAGGGACAAAGCCTCAGAACAACCTGCATTCCTGTGGATGGCCTAGTTTGGCTCTCCCAGTTGCTCTTGAGCCCTGTCAGTTTCTGCAGGAGGGAGGATCCTGAGCCGTATAGAGGGTGCGGCAGTGGACTCTGACCTGGGCCTTCTGGGGCGCTGAGGCTCCTGATTTCTGTTGGGGTGAGGATAGGAAGGCAAGGCCCTTCACCTGCTCTGGGCTAAGTCTTGGGGGAAGGGTACCTCAGCTTTGCCTCAGAAATAAGGAGATCCGCCCCCCAGCAGGGCTCATGATATGTTGGTACAAGAAGGCAGCCCCTGCCTTGCCATTCAGGCCTGGGCTTGGGCTGGGGGGCAGCCAGGCAAGGAGCGGGGAGCCCAGCAAAGCTCTGCGTACCATGTCCCTTTGACATCACTGAGCAGGGGCTCCTGCTGTGTGCCAAAGCCAGAAGGCCAAACCAATTCCTCAGGCCTTCATCCAGTCAGGAAGGTCATCAGATGTAGAGATAAGAGGGTGAAGCGGTGGGAAGGCAAACTGTCTCTGTAGAGTGGTTTGTATAGGTGGGGACAGAGTCTGCTCTACGTCTGTTCAGCAAACTGCAAGAAGAGTTAGGGGCCGGGCTAAGTAATCCTGGCACTTTTGGAGGCCAAGGCAGGTGAATCGTGAGGTCAGGAGTTCAGAACCAGCCTGGCCAACATGTAGTGAAACCCCGTCTCTACTAAAAATACAAAAACTAGCCGGGTATGGTGGCACACACCTGTAATCCCAGCTACTCAGGAGGCTGAGGCAAGAGAATTGCTTGAACCCGGGAGTCAGAGGTTGCAGTGAGCCGAGATTGTGCCACTGCACTCCAGCCTGGGTAACAGAGCGAGACTCCGTCTCAAAAAAAAAGAAGAGGTAGGTTACATCTGTTGTAGAATGATGGTTAGACTTTACGAAGGACTTCCCAGAGGTCAGACAGGAGCTAGTGGAACAGGCAATGGCAGGAAATCAAGGAATCCTTTGGGATGGTAGAAAAAGCCCTCCTCCCATCTTCATCCACCTCTCTCTCCCTTCTCTCAGGAGTGAGCTGGGGCTGGTCTGCCCTGCTTGAGGCAGGGGGTGGGACACTGTGGCCTCCGGGGGAGCCCAGGATGGCAGCAGGCGTCATATTTAACATTCTGCCTCCCCCACTTCTGAGACACCGAGCTATTTTAAGACCCACTTGTCCCCACCACCGTGGTGTCAATGACAGCCCCGAGCACTGGGGCTTAGCGCAGGGTCGAATTCCTGACAGATCTGGCTCACTTGGCATCCAACCAGTTTCACGGCTGTGATATTTTTGTCTTGATTTTCTTATTTCCAACAGACTGAAACAGCCTCTTGCTCTCCCTCCACCCAGCCTCCGATTCCACCCCCACTGGCACCCTGCCCCTGGCCGCCCCCTCTCCTCGGTGTTTACTCGAAGCTCTGGGTGCCTGCCGGGCAGCCTATCTCGCTCCTGGCCGGTTCCCCTGCCTGGCCCCCTTCACTCAAGCATGGCAAGGAGTCCGAGAGTAGCTGTGCATTGGTGTCTTGGAGCTCTCCTTCCTTCCAGAGCCCATCTGTCCCCTTTGCTTGCTCTTGATTACAAACTCTGTGTGAGGAGCAGGGGGTCCCTTCAGTCCACATTGATGGAATCTTGGCTCCAGAGTAAGGAGGAGGTGCTCTTCCTATAGCTGAGGTATCTCTGTTCGGTGTGGAGAGACCCTGGGCCCCATAGTTTGACCTTGAACTTTGTGACCCTCTCAGGAAAGGGAAGTTGAGGGGCAGGTGAAGGGGCATGGTGAGAGTCAGCCTACTGGATGTGATGAAGGAAACTGACATTGATGGGCACCTACCACAGACCAGGCAGCAAAAACCAGCAACCACTCAGAGGAGTTCCTTGGTGCCAGGTGTTCCGCAGACATCATCCTCACAGCCCCCTCCGCAGTGGGCATCGTTAGGAACCTGTTTTGTAGGTGAGGCAGTGGAGGATCACAGACTCTGGATTATGTGTCCAAGGTCACACAGCTACTTAGGGGCGGAGGCAGGACTTCAGGCTCTGTCTCATTGTGGAGACTGGACATTCTTCCTTAGCCTGGAGCTGTGGCGGTGGGCCTAGGCAGCTGGGAGACCACCCCTTCTCTGCTTAAACATCCTTGGCCTGCAGGGAGAGTGGGAGGCAGACATCCTCTTTGGCCTCAGTTCTATGGGAAGCTGACGAGGCTTTGTGCTGCTCAGGCAGGTGGAGAGAAGAGCACCTCATGTGTTATCCTACCCTGGGCTCTGTGCCATTTGCTGTATTTGTATTGCTCATGAAACCCTTATCAACTGTGATTATTCCCATTTTGCAGATGAGAAAACTGAGGCACAGCAAGGCTAAATAACTTGCCCAAGGACACACAGGAAATGCAGAGCCAGGAACTGAACCCTGGCAATCTGGCCCTAGGGCTTGCATTCTTAATGACACTACCTCCCAAATCTGAGGAAAGGGTGAGAAGAGGAACACCCCTAGAGGGGGATACTCCCCGGTGGGGAGAGGCTTTTCAGGGGTGCAGAGTCCAGGCTTCAGGTGAACCTGTGAGTGGAAGGCACCCAGGAAGGTGTTTGGAGAGAGGACCGAGCAGCCCACCCTTCCTGTGGCCCTGAGCACATGTATGCACGCACACAGCCCCTGCTTTTGTTGTTCTGAGCCACTTAGTTCAGTCCTGCAGTCCTCTTGTCACCCCCCTTTCCTGCTGTGTGTGACAAGGAAGCCTGGCTGGCTGCTGGTCCCTGCCACCTTCCCCTTCTCACTCCTACATTGGCTCCTGGGCCACTCTCCTCCCAAGGATGTCCCTGTTCCAGGCCTTCCATGGAGACCTGGTCCATGTGGTCACCTGGGCCCCGTCTTTAGCCCAAGCCTGCTCCTCTCCCCACGCTGACCCTAAGCTGTTCAGACTGTGGGTGCAGTGTCTGAGAAACCACCAGTTTCAGTCCCGTTTTGCAGCCTCCATATCTGTCTCTGGGGTGGAGGCCACAGCAGGGCACAGCCTTGAGACCAGTGGAAGGGACAGAGTGGCCATCCTCAAAAGGGGAAGCAGCCTGGCCTAGACCAAACCACTTGACGCCAGGCTGGGAAGGAACTGAAGGTTCATTATGATTCGTCCCAGGGGAAGCTTGGGCTGAGAAGGGCAGGGCCCTTTGCCGAGGTCAACAGGATCAGACACAGCAAGTCTCAGCCCAGAGCCCAGGCCCAACAGGTGCACCAGGCGGCCTCGAGCCTTCCCAAGCCCAGCACCTGGAGAACCTGGCTGGCTGTGCAGCAGTCCTGCCCAAACTGCACCCCTTCTCCTATTCTCTCCTAGGCTCTCCAGACCTGCATTCAGAATGCATCTTACTGTCTCGCCTGCCTGCTACAGTGCCCAGCAGAGCGTGGCTTATTGCCCTCTCCCTCTGTCCCCTGCCTTGCCAGTTTTCCTGCTACATTGGAGCCAACTGAGCAGCTCCTGGCCTTTCCTGAGCGCCCATCCCACCCTAGCGCATCCCTCCCCGCCTCCGGGGCATTCCAGGCCCTGCCGGTGTTCCTTTGACTGTTTGTCTCGGTTTCTCAGCCCTTCCCCTCAGTCCACCCTGCTTTCTGCAGTTTGGGCTTTGCTGTGAACACAGCAGTCCCCAAAGAAAGTGTCAGCACCAGTGCCCACAAGCTCTCTGGCTCATTCGCAAGATTACTTTTGTGCTCTCTCCATGCTGCTCATTTCCAGGAAGAAGGCCTCAAACATTCCCCTGGGCCCTGGCCCACTGCAGCTTCTCCAGTCCTGCCCTCTGCTCCTCCCAGGCTCAGGAGCAGCCACTGGTCTGGCGGGTTGGGCAGGCCCAGCCGGGAGGAAGCTGGGCTCAGTTCACCCTCCTCCTGGGAGCCTGGGCCCCAGTGGGATCTGCTTGATCTCCCTCCCCTGCTCGGAACACACCCCAAGCTGGCTCGAGCCCCTCCACCCCACCCACCTCATTCCCGCCCCCAGAGGCTGAGGTCACCAGCTCCCCTGGGCCTGGGTGGGGCTGTCATCACCTGCCGGTTGGAGGAGGAGGCCGAGCCCCTGGGGGCTGTTGTCTTAGCGATTGAGTAACTGGGTAATTGGCTCTGCCGGAACTGGTTCCCAGGCCAGGCCGGAACCTGTGGAGGCTGCAGCCCCCTTTGGCCTTGAGGATTTGGGGTGGCATGAAGTCCACCCCAGGGACCCTGGCTGGGTCGAAGTAGAGGGACACAGGTTTGTTCGGAGGGCTCCAGGGGCAGGAAAAGTACATTTCTTGCCCCACAGAGCCCCTCCCCAAAGGTGAAATGGGTGTGAGCCTATGGGGGTCCTGGCCTTGGGGTGTGGGGGCACAGTGTGCTCACCAGCCCCTTCTTCCTCAGGTGTCCCTCAATGCATGGTTTTGGTCCACAGTCTTCCACACCAGGGACACCGACCTCACAGAGGTGAGCACTCCTCCAGCTCCCCCTACTCCGCACAGGGTGTTGCCAGCGGAGCCCAGAATCGGGCAGAGGGGCTCTAGAGGGTCATGCCGACTCCCTGTGGGGAGCACTAGGAGGAGCAAGGGCCGCACATCCTGCACCTGTTGGTGCCCTTGAGCCATTTTGAGCCTCGTCAGGTGGGGATGATGATGAGCTCTTGCCTGTGAGGCAGCTGAGCCTTGGAGAGGTGGCCTGCTTGCTCAGGGGCACCCAGCTAGTAAAGGGTTGCCCCAGGACGGGACCCCGTGGCGTGGCTGTCAGACTCCACACTGCGCTCTGAATTCCATGCAGGGTGGTCATGTCCCGGAGCCTCAGCAGGGACCCTTCACCAGTGTCCCTAAAGCCTTGTTCCTGAGAATTTTTTGGCAGAGTCTCACTGTGTCTCCCAGGCTGGAGTGCAGTGCCTTGATCTCGGCTCACTGCAACCTCTGCCTCCTGGGTTCAAGCAATTCTCCTGCCTCAGACTCCTGAGTAGCTGGGACTATAGGCGTGTGCCACCACACTCGGCTAATTTTTTATTTTAAAAAATAGTAGAGATGGGGTTTCACCATGGCCTCGAATTCCTGACCTTGTGATCTGCCCACCTCGGCCTCCCAAAGTGCCACCACATCTGGCCTCCTGAGCACAAAAAATTGTACAATGATGTGAACACAAGGCTCAGCTGCAGTGAAACAGCTAGGCAGGCCAAGGACCCCCATCCCCTCCCTGCCACCCCTCCGTGCCCCTATCCCCGAGGGTCCTCTCTGAACAGCCTCTTGCTGTTCCCTCGTTGCCTTTCCCTGTCCTCAGAAAATGGACTACTTCTGTGCCTCCACAGTCATCCTACACTCAATCTATCTGTGCTGCGTCAGGTGAGCCTGCCTGGGTGGCTGCAGGGGCAAAATCGGGCCCCGGGGGTGCTGCTCTGAGGGCCTTCTTCACTAGTTTCCCAACAGCTACCCCCCATCAGCTGTCCTGGGTGGGGACCCTGGGGTAGGACTGGGGGCCCTGGCTTCTGACAAGGAGCTGTAGCACTTGGCCCCCGGCCTTTGGGAGGATTGGAGGCCTGCCCAGCTGACTCGTTTGGTGGGGAGAGGGGTAGTGGCTTGAGGGACTATGTTGAGGGGAGGAGATGCTTCAGGGAATGCTGCTCTGGGGACGGGCCGCCGCCCTCTGAGCAGCCCTGGATGGTGGGGCAGGACCGTGGGGTTGCAGCACCCAGCTGTGCTCAGTGCCTTCCGGGCTCTCCTGCTGCTAATGCTGACCGCGCATGTCTCCTACCTGAGCCTCATCCGCTTCGACTATGGCTACAACCTGGTGGCCAACGTGGCTATTGGTGAGGCCCTGGGGAGCTTGGACCATCTTTGGAAGTGCTAGCATGGGGTGCGAGTGGGGGGTTGGTGCCATTTCTGGAGAGGGAGATTCTAGAGAGACCCTTGGGGTAGAGGAATGGGGAAGAATTTGAGGTGGGAGAGAGAGGAGGCCTGGAGGAGAGTCCAAGAATGATCCTAGGGTCAGAGAGCATGGCGTTAGGGGTGGCCTTGGGGAGAAGAAGCCAAAGGAATGAGTCTCTCTTGTCCCCACCTGGCACCCAGGCCTGGTCAACGTGGCATGGTGGCTGGCCTGGTGCCTGTGGAACCAGCGACGGCTGCCTCACGTGCGCAAGTGCGTGGTGGTGGTCTTGCTGCTGCAGGGGCTGTCCCTGCTGGAGCTACTGGACTTCCCACCACTCTTCTGGGTCCTGGATGCCCACGCCATCTGGCACATCAGCACCATCCCCGTCCATGTCCTCTTTTTCAGGTGGGTGCTGCCCCTGCCGGTGCTCACCTTTGAGCCCTCCCTTGCCCACTTCTTAGGGGAGACTGGGGGTTCTGTGTGCCCATCCAGCCCTTCTCACCTTGCCTGCCTGTCTCACCCCGCCCCCACACGAGCTCTCAGAGCTGTGTGCCTCAGTGGGCTCCTCCTTTGGCCCACAGCTTTCTGGAAGATGACAGCTTGTATCTGCTGAAGGAATCAGAAGCCAAGTTTAAGCGGGACTAAAGACCTTGGGAGCGGGTCTGCCCCAGTGGGGATCCTGCCCCCACCCTGCTGGCTTCCCTTCTCCCCCCAAGCCTTGAGATGATTCATTTTCTCCTTTCAACTTCTTGAACTTGGACATGAAGGATATGGGCCAGCCCATTCCTGCTGGCTCTCACCAGCCTTGGAGCCTGTGCTAGGGAAGGCCTCCCAGCATCTGGGACTAGAGAATGGGCAGCCCCTCTGCCTCCTGAATGTGTTCTTAGCTCCACCGGGAGGAAAGCTGCCTGTTTCCTCCCCATATCCCCCGCTGCCTGGCTTGGTCCCAGAGCCCTCTGTCTACTTGGGAGACCGGGGACCACAGGCCTTAGGGATACAGGGGGTCCCCTTCTCTTGCCACCCCAACCCTCCTCCAGGACACCACTAGGTGGCGCCAGATGCTTGTTCTTTGGCCAGCCAAGGTTCAAGGTGATTCTCCTGATGGGATCTTGAGGGACCAAGCTGCTGGGATTGGGATTGGGAAGGGGTTTCACTTTGATCATTGCCAGGTTCCCAGGAGGCCTCACCACACTCCCCCTCGGGGCCAGAGCCCCAGCAAGCCCAGGGCAAAGATCCCCTGCTGAGGTCTGGTTAAGAGCCTGCCACCGTGTGTCAGGAGTGTGGGCCAGGCCAAGTGCATAGCTGACCTGTGGTAAGTATGGGCTTGGGTGTGTGTGAGCTCAGGCCTACGTGTGCAGCATGGAGAGGGGTGTTGCAGGGTACGAGGTGTGGTTTCAAAGTGTGTGTGTGCAGGGGGTGGGTGGGTTAGCTGGGTTAGGGGAACATGCATGTGAGCGTGCTGATGGGCATGTGAGGCGAGTGTGACTGCAGGTGAACGTGCCCTCAGCTGAGAGGTTGGAGAGGATGAGGGAATCATGTCACCATCAGTAATCACTGTGGAGCACCAGCTCTGCCCAAGGCCTCAGCTGGGCAGACAGCCAGGACCTCTGCACAGCCAGGCTGCCTGTGTGCGTGTTCCCTGTCCTGTGCCCCCTGCACACCTTGCAGGGCCTCCACACAACAGTACCCTCCAGAACCAGCCCCTCGGGGGCAGAGGAAGGAAAATGCGGATGCATGGGGCTCTCTCCAGCCTCTGTATCTCCTTGCCTTGGCATGGTTGACCTCCCCTCCAAAACCCCCTTTCCCCTGCTGCCAGCCCCTTTGCATCACCTGGACTTTGGGGAGGGGGAAGGGATTTGAGGGAGAAGGGGAGAAAGCTTGTGGCTGGGTCTGGTTTCTGCCCTCCCCAGAGGGTCTTACTGTTCCAGGGTGGCTCCAGGACGGGCAGGAGCCACACTGTGCTGACACCCTGGTAAAGGTGACCCCTGCCAGTTGCCAGCAGCCCTGGCATGTTCCTGCCCCACAGGGATAGGATAGAGTGAGTGCCAGAAACTTTCCATCCCAAAGGCAGTGTCCGTGGTTGAAGCAGACTGGATTTTTGCTCTGCCCCCGACCCCTGGTTCCTCTTTAGGGGAGGGGAGCTATGCTAGAACTCCAGCCTCAGGGACTTGGGTAGCCTGGGCTAGGTTCTTTTGATACTGAAAACTGTTTTAAGGTGGGAGGGTAGCAAGGGACATGGTTAATAAATCATTTTCAGCCTCACCTGCCTTGTTCAGCTCATTTGTGTGAATAGGGTGGGCTGGAGGGCAGAAGACAGTTGTGGGGGCAGGGAAGGCCCCATAGCTGGCTGGAGGCAGTAGACAGAGGTGGGGTCTATGCCTGGGCACATGGGCATAGGGAATGGCAGGCCCCAGAGCAGAGCTGGGCAAAGCTCAAGTCTGGTTGTGAGAGGCAGCCGGAGCCGGCTCTTGCCCTTTGGCTTCCCTGGGCCTTTGTGCTTCAATCTTAATACCCCTATCACCTTGCAGGTGCTACTTCCATCTCCTCATGATCCCAGTCTCCCCTGTTCTGGTCTGAACCAGGCTGCACTGTTTGTTACTTCACCTCTCTGAGCTTCACCTGGAAACAGACTAGCAGGACCTGCTGCTGAATGCAGGAATGAATGATGTCATGGGCAGAATGGCATGTCACACGTGCCTGGAGCTCCCCTTGACCTTGGCCTTCCTTAGTTTGGGAAGAATGTATGGTACAGAATGCTACCCTCAAGGAAGCTTCTGGAAAAAAAGCCTACGGTGAGTGTCTTCCCCCACCCCGACACTCAGATCTCTGGGCCCTTGTTGCCTCCCAAGAGAGGCAGAGATAGCACTGAGCACAGTGGCAGGCCATTATTTCTTTATTAGGTGCCACCTCAAAGAGCAGGGCATCCAGGTGGGGGCCACAGGGTACGCTGGGCCCTCACAGCCCTACCTTCTTCTGAGCCCAGGCGAAAAAGATGCCCTTGACGTCGTCTACACCTGTCTGAAGGCGGGCAGGCATGCTGTAGGTACGGAGGTCCCGGACCTCGTAGCCGCTACGCACCAGGGCCTCTCTCACCTCCTCCTCAGACACTGGCACCACCGTCAGCCTGGCCTCCCCAGCTAGATACCACGACTCCTCCAGGGCCCCAATGAGGAGGAGGTGCCCTCCAGGCCTCAGCAGTGTGGTGATGTGGTCCAGGGCCCGCTGGAAGCTGGCAAGATCTGGGCTTACAGCCTCCAAGCAGAAGGCAGAGACCAGGGCATCGGCAGGCAGGGGTGCTGGGCTCCCAGCACCTAGGGGCTGGAGCTGGTGCACATCAATGGGCAGGACTCGCTTCACCCTGGCTCGCAGTTGGCGCTCCTTCTCTTGCCAGGATTCCCTGTACAGGGGGCACAAGGCAGGGCTCAAGACTGTTCTGTGCTCAGGCCTTTGTTGCCCCCACCAGCCACAGCCACTCTATGGGAAGCCCCCCTGCCCAGCCCTCACCCCCCCAGTCCTTACCCCTTGCCCTCAATGAGGCAGGCATGCTGGCTGTACACGCTCCAGTTGAAGGCCCCCGGTTCCTCCCGCAACCAGCGCCCCAGCTCCTGGCGGTTGACCTCCAGGAAATCTGTCATGGTGATGTCTTCAAAGTGGCTGCAGGCGCTGAGCAGCTGGTACACAGTGGGGCCTGAACCAATGTCGATGAGGGTGCGTCCGGATACCTCACCTGGGCAGGGCAGAGAAAGAGGGTCCTGGTGCCAGGCCGGCCCAGGCAGCCCCTGCCTCCTCAATCCTCCCTCCCCTGCATCTCCCTGCCTCTCTCCAGTTCTTCCTTCTCCGCTGCAAGTGTGTCTCCATCTGGAAAAAGTATTAGCCCCAGAGTTAGACTGAACCCAGCTCCAACATGGACTGACTTCCCTTGGGAAGGGAACTTCACCGCTCTGAGACTCAGGTACCAGCCGGGCACGGTGGCTCACGCCTGTAATCCCAGCCCTTTGGGAGGCCAAGGCAGGTGGATGACGAGGTCAGGAGTTCCAGACCAGCCTGACCAACATGGTGAATCCCCGTGTCTACTAAAAAAAACACAAAATTAGCCGGCCTTGGTGGTGCATGCCTGTAATCCCAGCTACTTGGGAGGCTGAGGTAGGAGAATTGCTTGAACCCAGGAGGTAGAGGTTGCAAGGATCCGAGATCGCCCATTGCACCCCAGCCTGGACAACAAGAGTGAAACTCCATCTCAAAAAAACAAAACTATACCTACCAGCCAGGCTTAGTGGGGAAATCCTGGCGGTTTCTCGCTCCTGGCCGAACATCTCTGCCTCCATTTCCTCCTCTGCATCCCCAATCTTAGCTCTCAATTCTGAGTCCTCTCGGCTCCCTCTCGCCTCTTCCTTTCCTCGGCCCCTCTCCTAAGGGCTGTTGCTCCTTTTTCTCTTCTATTTGCACCTCTCAGCTATCTCTGCTTCTTGGTCCTCATCTGGCGGGCGCGCGGTCTGTCTCCTTTCTGTCTCCCCGCGCCTGCTTTCACTCCCTGACGACCTCTTGTCCCTCTTGCCTCAGTTTCCCCCGCCCACCTGTGGCGAAAGTCTGCGCCAAGCAGCGCAGCTTCCACGGCCCGACGCCGTCGGGGCTGCTCAGGTCCCCGCGAGGGGGCGCGTAGTTGTTGCGGAGGTAGGCGCGGGGCTCGAAGCGCTGGTAGGCCGAGGCCACCGCCGCCCGGCCCGGGGCCGAGTCAGGGTCTGCGCCGCTCATGCTGCCGCTGCGGCCCGCCCGATGCCACGCTCGTCTCGCGGCCCCTTTTTCTACCGCCCGACCCCCGCCCCGATCCGTCCGCTGTGGGGGCGGCAGCTGAACCAGAGCCGCCCGGGGCTACGCGCGCCGCATCCTCCCCAGCCCATCCATCCATCTCCCTTAGTGTCCGGGCGGCAGACGCACCGGAGGTGAGGGGGGCGGCTGCAGCTGCAATCGGCTCCCGCCCCGCCCCGCCCCGCCCCGCACTTGCTCCCACAGCGCTCGCCCTCCGCCTCGCCTGCGCCGGTCCGAGTCCCGCCTCTGTGCCGCCCCCCACTCTCAGTTCCTCACCCCCACAATTTTTAGACCCCCATCCCCGCAGCCCGGCCCCTCCTGTCCCTCTTCTCCAGCTCCCCGCAGCCATTCACCCCTTCTGCCCGGCAGCCCGCCCCTTCTCTTTCCTGATTCGAGGTGAAGACTGGGGAATTCGCCCCTTTCCCCAGTTTCTCCCTCGCAGCGCCCTCCCTCCCACAGGAGGCCCCAGACCCCGCCAGGCTCCCCTCCGTCCCGGACATCCGTCCCAGCACCCAACTTATAACTTCTCTTATAACTGCCACCCAACTTCCCTTCTCCTTCCCTCCTCCAGGCCTCTCTCGTCCTTTCCTAAGCCATCCGGCCCTCCAGCGGCCCCCATCCCCACCCCGCCCCACAAAGGACAGTCCGTTCCGGCCTCCGCTGTGGTGGCTCCGGGGGCCCAGAGCCGGGCGCAGCATCGCCTGTCCGATGGCAGGCGCGATAGGGGACGCGAGCGGCGCTAATGCACTTAGCGGGCGGAACAGCCTGGCCTCCCTATCGCGCCTGCCATCGGACAGCCAGGCTTCCCCTGCGGGCCTCGCGGGCTCCCAGTCGCTTATCTGGGGGCTGCTGAGGACGGAAGGTTCGGGTTCGGGTTGTCCTCGCCACGTCGGGGGCGCGGGACCCAGGTGAGGGCAGAAGGAGGGCGTGAGGGGGGCGTGGCGTGGGGCACTTTCCCTGAGGGCCGCCAGGGCCACCAGGGGGCGCAGTCCAGGCCTTGGGGCCCAGCAGATTTGGGGTCCTGCGGATCCTGGGACTGGGGCTGGTGCACATTGATGGGCAGGACCGGCTTGCAGCTTGTGCTCTGACCCCTCTCCTCTCGCGGCCCACACTCCAGCTCAGCTCCGAAGCAGCGGCCAGGACAGGCCTGCAGGTTCTGTTCCGGTGCCCTAGGTCCTGGCTGTCAAAAGGCCACCGTCTCCCCACCTATCCCCTGATGGGAAGCCAATTCTGCATCTCCCTAGCCTCCCTGAAGACCCCTTCCTTCCCCTCTGGATGAGTCTGGGGCCCTTCTGCCCTGGGTAGGCAACCAGCCCAGCTCCTACCACGGTGGGTTCCTGGCCCTGCTTGATTCAGGCCTCCTCTGTGCCCTCCCCACCCGCCTGTCCCCAGGAGAAAGTCTCCTGGGGAGAGGCAGCCAGGTTGGAACATGAGTCACCACAACAGCTGCAGGGGTCACAGAGAGGAACCTGACCCCCTAGCACCTCCAACCTTCCCTGGCTTCCAGAGCAGGGAGGGTGGAGCGAGACTGCCAAGGATTGATTCTGTCTGGATTCAGAACTGAGAGGCAGGTTAGCCTTGAGGTCACTGACCCTGTTCACACCCTGAGGCAAAGCCAAGGACAGTCCTGGTGCCAACCCCTTCATATTCTCCATGAGACATCATTGAAACAAATCCTGGATGCCAGCTGGCTTGCTGGGTACCACCCAGTGCCAGGGGGCTGGACACAGAAGCCAGGACTGGGCAGGGTACGGAAAGGAGACTGGAGACAGCACCCTGTTTACAGCTCCGTTCCGGCCCCTCCACCCCAAGTATGGGGTGTACCCATTAGCTCTGCCATATTTAGCTCAGATGCAGGGCCTGGACCCAGAAAAGGGCACTGGGGGGACACCCATGGGCCAGCCCCACAACCACAAGGAGAGATACGACTTTGGAACATGACTGAGCGTTTATTGCGGCACTAAGGTGCTGGGGGCCCCACCATCCTTGCCTCTGCCCTCTTCACCTCCCCCTCCCTCCCAGCTTCTGCCTAGAGTGTTCCAGATTCCCGGCATTTTTCCTGGATCAGGGCCACTCCTCCCAGGCACCTCTTGCCCTCACCAGTACCTTTTGTCCTTCCTCCTGGGGCTGAGGGTCCTCAGCTGTGCTGGCCCCAGCTCTCCACCCTTAGTGCCCACCGTCTCTGCCACTCGCCCTTTGGGAACTCAGGAGGCTCAGGCATCCTGGCCTCTGGCTCCCTCCTCCCCTAGCCCCCAACTCTGGGCAAACTACAAAGCAGCCATGGCCGGCAGTTCCCTTCCACAGTCCTAGCCAGGAAGGGCCCAGCCCAGGGCGGGCACAGCGGAGCCCAAGTCACAGTCCCCTCAGCCTCTCTGCGCTTCCTGGGACATGGACCGGGACAGGGAGCGACGAAGGGGACCAGGCTTGCTGACGGTCACCACGGGAGGCAGCTGCTTGGTGATCTCAGCCACCTCCTGGCGGTCCACACACTGGCCACCCAGAGCTGTCTCCAGCGCAAGCAGCTCCTGCAGCTGGATCGGGGTGTCCGCACGCTCTTCCTTGGTGGCGCCCATCTTGGCAGGGGTGAAGATGGGCAGTGGCAGTACCCGCTGGTAGGGCAGCTGGTACTCCTGCAGCCCACGGCCGAGGATGCCCATCCGCATCACCAGCCAGGGTGAGTGCTGCACCAGCGCCTGGCACTGCCCTTGCTGGTGGTAGGTCTCATGTCTCTGGGTGTCCTCCTCATGCAGGGAGCAGCTGGGAAGAGGGGAGGGGCAGTGAGCTCCTGGGAGCTCTTGCTCTCCGGGCACAAGCTGGGTGGGAAGTGCCCTGGGGCTGCTGGGACCTGGGCACAGGAAAGGTGGTTCTCCTTTGCTCTCCCCATGGAGCGTTCTTTCTGCCCCTACCCCCAGAAATTTCTCCAGGGCTTCCTGCTCCAGCCCACATGGCTTAGTGAGGGTGCTCTGGGGGAGCAGAGGCAGGGCTCTATCGGACCCACACTCACCCCTCCTCGGGCCGTGTGGACAGTATCAGATCCTTCCATTCGGCCCAGAAGGCCTCCTGGCGCTCACAGTTCTCCTCGGACACCTGGCAGCTCAGCTCTGAGGTAGCCATGATCACTCCTCACTCCGTCTCCCCTCCCAGGCCCTTTAAATAGCCCCCTCCTCCCCCTTCTCCAGGGACTATTTTCGGCCCCTCTGGTGTCAGATGCTATAAGCAGAGCCAAGACTCACTGATGGGGGGACACCAGACCCAGGGCAGGGGTTGGGGTACTGGATGCTGGCTGCCCCCTGGTCAGAGGTCTGAGGCCTGGGGTCCTTGGGGCAAGGCCTCCAGGTGCCTGACATTCCTCAGACAATGTCTCAGGCCAGCCAATGCCCAGCCTTGTGCACCCCTGGCACTTGCCCTCTGCCCCACCCACTCCCCTTTGCAGGGAGGACAGCAGCTTGTCTGTAAACAGAGCAGGACTAGCAGGAACTGATGCCCTCTCTGGGCTCTGTACCAGGGCTGCCAGGTCCTGCCTTGGCTGTGCTCTCCTCTGCCTGGGCTGAAAGGCACATCCCCAGACTGGCCGTCAACCAGAAGGGACAGTGCAACCACGTCCTTAGGCATCTGGACCGTCACCCTCCCCACACCAGCAGGGGCGGAGGAAGTCAATTCCATACCTGGGACCCTGGGGCATGAGCCTTGGCCAGGTGTTTGCCTTCCCCATGGCTGGTGGTCAGAGAAGTGGTCTCTTAAGTCAGGCCGGTGGGGGTAGAGGGGGGTCCCAGTTCTACCCCAATACTGTGTTGGGTGAAATGGAAATCCAGGGGTTCTGATGGGTGACAGCCAGGCCTGACTCAAGACTTAGATCAGCCATACATAGGCTGTGTGACCATGGGTCAGTCCCTGCCCCTCTCTGGGCCCCTTTCCCCACTTTCTGGCCATTATAAGAGGAACAGAAGAGCTCTGGAGCCTGCCAGCTCCAATGTGCCACCTGGGAGGGGTCTGGCTCTCCTTCATGGGGAGCAGGGAGACAGATGGCTGTGGAGACAGCCCGGCACCCAGGGATAGCAACTCATGGTGCAAGAAGCTGGCACACAGGTGGTGGGCATGGGGGGGTGAGAAGTGAGGACCCTGCCGAGTGGACAAAGCAAAGGACAACGGGAAAAGCGGTGACGGGGGCTGAGTTCAGGACCCCGTGGAGACAGCAGAGTACCCAGAAGGTCAGGCCCATGGGCACCCACCTGGGTGCAGAACTGCAGACTATTGATTACTACGCACTGTGCCCGGTTCTTCATATCTTTTAATCTCGTAACAACCCTGTGACATCAGTCCCATTTTCATAAAACAGGAAGCAGAAGCTGAGAGAGGTAGATTTGCCCAGGGCCACACACCTAGGCAGGACTGAGACAGTCAGTGTCCACCTGGCTCCGAGGAAGCTGGCTCCGCTGGAAGCCTGCAGGCAGGCCGGCCAGCCAGAAGGGAGGAGGGCAGGCAGTGGCCTGGCTCCAGCCTGCCATCCAGCTCCAGGCTGCCCCTGGTGTGAGTGCGGTACAGGGAGAGGGGATGGGTGAGTGGAGTCTGGGAGCTCCAGAGCTCCAGGTGGCCGGGATCCCAGAGGTGCCTCAGAGACCCTGAAGCTCAAGCCCCACCTCCACGCTAGCAAGATAGTCAAGGCTTGCTGTGGGCACTGCCAGGTGCCCACACCCCTACCTCCAATCCTGGGCTAGAGACTTTGAAGCTAAGGCCTGACAGGGGGTGGGGCATATTTTTCTGACCAGTCATTGGTTCAGTTGAATAGGTCAGGAAACGGGGTGGGGAGGGGCATGTTCCAGGAACTGGCTCCCTGGCTCTGCCCTCCTGTGAGCCCCTGAGAGGCTATGATGGGTCTCCGTCTTCATCCAAGCTGCTGCCTGCCTTCCTCTCCCCTCAAGAGGCAAGGCAGCTGGAGGGGTTGGGTTTTATTTTTTTTAGTTCATATTTTTAATTGGCTTAAATTACAGAGGTCCCCCAGAAGGCCCTGGGAGGAGGGGGACAGCCTGGGAGAGGCAGAGATTCACTGCCAGCAGCCCACCCCCACCTGCCACCCACTCCCCCACAAGGGTCCCAGATTCTTTCAATAACCCTAAAAAACCAATGACAGTGCAGGCAGATGAAGGGCTCCTTCATCTTCACATGGGTGACAGGCTGCCCTGCCCAGCCCAGGGCCCTGGCCCTCCCCAGCCAAGTCAGGAGCCCAGCCCAGACCCTGCCCCTGGCAAGGCGGGGGACAGCAATC